GTAGGAATGTAATATTAAAATTTGAGATGTTAAATATGTAAATAGCATGAAATAAAGTGATATGTATGTAAATCTAAAAAAAACAATCATTATGCAATCAATATATCAAAAGCCAAAATTAAAAAAGAACTTCAAATATAAGGTATTTAATCTCACCTTGATGGTATCATAGTAGCCCCATCCGACTTCACTAGAAAGCTTACCCAAAAGGCAGTACTTGTGACCTGCTTGGAGCCTCAAAACCCTACGAGCAACCATTATCACAGAAAAAAGCTCCCCAGGTTAATTTTAACATCAACAAATCAATTATAGCATAGAAAACAAACAACTTCATCTGAATATCTCACTTCAGTGCATCAGGGATCACCATCCGCTTCTTCTTGTCATAAGGCGGAGGTATACCTTCGTAGGCCTTGAGCCTCGCCAAAGCTGCAGCTCCTCTCTTAGTCTTATGCGGAATCATCCTACACAAAACGAAAAAAAAATTATTTTTTCCACGCAAGAAACCAAAAAGAAAAAATAATGAATTCAACAAAATGGAACAGAAAAACAAGTGTGAGATTCACCCGCGGATAGTGCGCCATAGGATCTTAGCTGGGGCGCGGAAGTGGATCGGTCCATGCGAAGGCTTAGTGTTCATGCGCTTGCGGAGGAATCGCAAAAACTTCATCTTCTGCCTAACGAGTCCTCCTGACATGCAAATCTCCTCGCAGCGGACGACCACGATGTGCTGTCCATTGAGGAGCTCTTTCGCAATTATAGAAGCAAGGCGACCGAGCATGTGGTGGCGCGCATCCACCACGATGTGCCGCTTGCTGATTGCAGATCCGGATACCATTTGTTCTTAGCTTTACCCTTCTGCTTTCTCTCCGTGTCCGTCGAGACCGACGCTAGGGTTAGGGTTTCTACTACGTAATAGAGCCGCCCCTCACTGAAGAAACAGCGCGTTTGTTCTTGGGATTTATAGTGGCTGGTTTGGGTACCTTAGCGGGTTGGGTTGGGTTGGAAGCAGATGTGCCGGTTTGGTCTTTGC